CCCTGTGGTGCAGTTCCACTCTGTCCTCTAGGGGCGCTGTGGGTCAGAATCCCCTCCAGGCACTGGGTTTGGTTTGGGCTTTGGTTCTGTGAAGGTAGGAGCTCTGGTGGCATAGTGCCTAAGGCATCTGACTGGTAACCAGAAGGCTGGCAGTTCAAACCCACCAGCCACTCCTCGGAAGGAAGGCTGGGCAATCTACTTCTGTAGTGATACCGCCTTGGAAACCCAAAGAGGGGTCTCTATGCTAGAGAGATGTAGTAGTTACACTCATGGGCTTTGAACTCAGGCTTGAATTCTCATCTGTCCTTTGCCACTTAATCTCAGCAAAATCCTACGTAAAGAATCAGAAAGATAAGGTATGGGAAGGGCTCGGCCCATGAAACCCCACCAAAGCCAATGTCATCGAGTCTTGTCCAACTCAGCGACAGAGTGGCTGGTGGGTCTGAACTGCCCACCTTTCAGTTAACAGCCAGGTACTTTAACCACCATGCCACCAGCGCTCCTTAAACGCAATAAATAAATAAATAACTCCTGTTGTCAAGTCAATTCCAACTCACAGCGCCCCTAGCGGACATCGTGGAACTGCACCACAGGGTTTCCAAGGCTGTCGATCTTTCTCCTGCAGAACACTTGGTGGGTTTATACCGGGGACCCTTTAGTTAGCAGTGGAGTTAGCACTGTGCCACCAGGGCTCCTTCCTTAAACATAGTAGGTGCTTAATAAAGGTGATTGCAACCATCATTGTCTTTGTTATTTTTTCCAAAAGGCATTTATTGAGCATATTTTTTTTGGGGGGGGAGGGTAGCACACATTATTTTGTGGCTGTTCAGTGCTGTTGAATCCATTTTGACTCACAGAGACCCCATGTGACAGTGCACGCTGCCCCATAGGGTTTTCTAGGCTGTAACCTTTAGAGCAACTGTTTATTCCAAGAAACTGCTGGATTCAAACCACCAGTCTTTTGGTTGGTAGTGGTGTCCTTAACCATTGCAGCACCAGGGCTCTTTACACATTGTTCAGGAGCCTGGGAATACAGTAGGATATTGACAGAGGAGGCCCCTGGCCTCTCAGATCACATACAACCTAATGGGAACCCCATCAGTTCATCTCAATTTCACTAAGCACCTACTATGTGCTAGCGCCTGTGCTGGGTACTGACTTCAGACCATCAGACCCAGGATGCTCAGGGATGCCGTCAGCTGCCTTAACTCAGAACACTAGGCAAGGTGTTCAGGTGGGAGTGGTTTATCTGAAGGGAGAGCCCGCTCACTCCCTCTGTCTTTCCCTCTCTTTCCAAGGCACAGTCTCACTGTTCTCTATTTTTCTCCGCAGGCACGGGCGCCCCCTCGTGGCGGCCACAGAAGAACCGCTCGCGGGCGGCGTCAGGCGGGGCGGCGCTGGCCAGTCCAGGCCCAGGTTCGGGATCAGGTCCTACGGCTGGACCTGGGGGCAAGGAGCGCTCGGAAAACCTGTCCCTGCGGCGCAGCGTATCGGAGCTCAGTTTGCAAGGTCGCCGGCGGCGGCAGCAAGAGCGCAGGCAGCAGGCTCTTAGCATGGCCCCAGGGGCAGCTGATGCCCAAATCGGACCCGCAGACCCAGGCGACTTCGACCAGCTGACCCAGTGCCTCATTCAGGCTCCCAGCAACCGCCCCTACTTCCTGCTGCTCCAGGGCTACCAGGACGCCCAGGCAAGCGCCGCCTCCCCTGCCTGTCTCCCCTACCCCGAGATCCCTAGGCCCCGCCTATCCATTGAAGGACAACAAAACTACAACTCCCAGAATTCCGTGGATAGCGGTAGCTTCCCCTCCTAGCCATTGAAGGGCAACAAAACTACAACTCCCAGAATTCCGTGGATAGCGGTAGCTTCCGTAAGCGTGCAGGCACTGTGCCAGCAAAGTTCTAGAATGGGAGATACCATTGTAAGCGAGGAGAAGGGGTGGAGGGTAAATGGATGAGAAATGTCACTGGAGAGACAAACAGGTAATAGTTCATTTTGTTCAATGTTGGGACCAAGCACTGTCTTCGTCAAGGGAGAGTGAGCAAGTCCGTTGTAGGAAGGAAAGCTCCTTGGAAGCGTCCATTTCTTAAAGGGGATCATGAGGGAATACATTTTCTAGGGATTGGCTGTTGTGGGGGAGGGGGGTCAATGGGAAATTCTTTTATTAACAGATATGTATTATTGGGGATCTCTGGTGGCATAGTGCCTAAGGCATTTGACTGCTAACCAGAAGGCTGGCGGTTCAAACCCATCAGCCACTCCTTGGAAGGAAGTTGGGCAATCTACTTCCGTAGTGATACTACCT